CTTTCATTATATACACTGATAACACAAACAGTGATAATAACAGAAACAAAACAAACGCCACTGGCTTTACTAAATTTAATTCCTGATCCCTCAAAAGAAGGAAGCATATAGTGGCCAAAACTCTAAACTAAAAGTGAGAGGAGCCAAATTCTGTCCCACATTTTTTTTTTTTTAATATAATTTTGTGAAGTTGGCTAACATACAGTGTATACTGTGTGCTCTTGGTTTCGGGGGTAGATTCCCATGATTCATCACTTACATCCAATACCCAGTGCTCCTCCCAACAAGTGCCCTCCTCAGTGGCCATTACCCTTTGAAAGATACCTCTTTACCCTTTGGTGTCTCCATTTTTATAATAATAAGATTGCCTGTTTATCCTCTAAGGGTCTGTGAGCTCTAACAGATGTACGATTTGACGAATAACAGCAAAACAAAGCTCACAATCACTAATGCAGATTCCCCACTGCAGTGGAGGACTCAGAGTAATACCACAAGGAGTTTTGTTATAGCACAAAAACATGCTCAAAAAAAAAAAATCTAGCCCTCTAACTTGCATACTAAGATAGTCATTTCTTCTTAAAATGCTATGATACTTCTTACTCTTTTCCTCCGCCATGAGAATGCATACATAGTGACTATTTATGATGTGAAACAAGCATTGGTTTTTAAAATATCTACCGGCATAAGGTGGGTTGGAAAAAACCGCACAATTCCAAAGGAGGACATGTTCTTCTAGACAAAAGCTGTTTCTGTAGCCTATTTCTTGGGATAAAAACTCTTATGGAGCCAAGACAAGGAAAACCATAGCATCCAGAGTCAACCTACATGTAATATGATTAAGAAAGTTTATAACTGTAAGCCACTGAGGTTTTGATGCCATTCCACAGCAAAACTGAGTGGTATACAAATAAAGTGGTAGTAGAAATGGGTGCTGTCCTAACAAAATACCCCAAGCTATATCATTAAAAATGTATAGCAGGATAATAATGGGACTTTTATTGGAGATTTGAAAACATGTCTGTTAATACCAGTAGTGGCAAATATTTCCACACTGAAGGTATTGAAAACTTGGAAGGCAAACAGTATACCTAATAAGTTTATGGATTTAGGATAGTAAGTTTTGTGAAACAAAAGTGATGCAAAGTTGTACTACAGCTTGTATTTATTAGCTACATTAGGCAAATAAAATAAGGCACATACTCAGAAAAGTGCTCAGAAAAGAATTGGCCCATATGTAAGCAGGAGTATAAGGAAAAAAAGAAAGAATTCAGAAATTCTTTATCTTACAGGACTAGGCTGTGTAATTCCTACTCATGTCCAATAGGTAAAAAAACAAATAGTTATTCCGATAATCAGATTCAATCTCAAGGCATAAACCAAATCAAGGATACAACCATGATTCCCTTTGTTAAGATATCTCTATAGATTAGTATGGGCTCCAGTACATTTTTTTAGTTGGACATGATGGCTCAAGAAGAAGAGATTAAAAGTGTTTTCCCAAAGAAAATTTTGGGGGTTGGGAGGTGCAATATTTGAAAAGTGATGTGGGTGTGGACAGTAGCATAAGCAGTTGACTGAAATCAAACCTGTATTAAAAGAGATTGTGACTGTGATGTGAAATAATTATTAGTTTTCAAATATCTGGAGATATAAAGTAGGCTGAGACAATTGCTCAGTTTCTAAGTAGGTCATGTTCTTTATTGCTTTCTTTTGATTTGGACAAGGAAAATAAAGGAACTCTCAGAGGTCAGAGTAAAGAGTTAGGGGGAATAATGAACTGTGGAGTCAGTTATAAGAAGTAGGACTTGGGCCCAGTCAAGATACCTTACCAACCCTCAGGGTAATGTATTTAATAATATTTGCCCAATGGAATTTAAGAATTTTTGTGATTGAAAGGTTTCTGGATATTTCCCTTCTCCCCTTTAGAGAATATGGTAGGGAATAGTGTATGGGGGAAGAGAAAATTTATCTCTTTAATTCACAGTTCTCTGGACCAAGAGGAGCTGTATACCTGGATCTGATGTAAAGACTATCATGAGATCTTGGACTTTAAGGCTGAGAACATGACGGGATGAAATTTTTCTGTGTCTTTTTTTGGGGAAATAAATAGAATAAGAAAAAATATGAAAATATTTGTGATCAAGGGAGGTCTTTGATAGATCACATTATTTGTCTCAATCATTAACTTCTTCTCTGGAAGAGGATTTTCCATGCTCACCAACTGCTGTGTTAATTTCCAATACTTTTTGTGGGAAGAGTTTACATCACCAATATATTGACATAAGTTTATGAATGTAGCTGCTTTGACCAATGGTTTATGAGCAAATATGATGTACTCTATAGATAAGCAGAAGCTCTTATAGGTATACCACGTTCCTGCCAGCCATTTTGCTCTTTAGTTCACTGGCAAGGGGATATACCTGACCAGCAGGGGAGAAACATCTTCAGCCTGGAACCCAGAATAAGAAAACTTGAAGGGTAGAGATGAAGGATATCTACTGACTGAGCAAAGCCACAGATGAGCCATAGTGTAAGGAGAAAAGAAACATTTGCTTTTGAACCAAAGACCATACTCCCACCACAAAACCGACATTTCCCCCCTGTATTTCAGAAGAAAGCAACATTTTTTTTTAAAAGACCCATGCTCTATAGAGAAGGGAATTTGTGTTGTTTGAAATATGTATGCACATATTTATAATTTGTAACACAATTTGGGATGCATATCATGGACCAGAAAATAGGACTCTTATTTCTCAACTTTATATTATTCTGTATGGAAAAAACAACCTTTTGCAAATCAGTCCCTTTGGACTTTAAGTTCTGCATATATCAGATAGAAATATATATCCTGTCCAACAATATTTGATAATTTCTTGAAGCTCCAAAAGGTAAGTGTCAAAATGCTTTAAAGACTTACATTAATATTCAGATTTTGTGGTATGAATCTGAAAAGATATACTCTTAAACAATACTGATGCGAGGGAGAGTTATTATCTCTATGAAAATAAAGTAGTTGTCTGCATTTAATATAGAGAATGTGTTTGTAGCATACACATTCAAATATACAATTTCCCAAGAAAATCACAGAGGGAAACATGTACTTGCATAAATGAAACCCTGAGGCTCTGCGCATTCCTTAGCACATGCCTTCAGCAGAGAACAACTAAATGTAAATGATAAACCTGTAGATGTGATCATCTTTAAATGTAGTAGGAGTTGATATTCATAGAAAAGTTGTTTGCCAGAATTGTTCAGTGATTCTGGAGACCAAAATTCTGATTTTCATCACTTTCTGAATATGACTTTAGCTTTTTGGAGAAAAATTATGTTAAGACAAGTGAATGTTTTAAATTATTCCTTCCTAAATCCTTTACCAACAACACTTTAAATGCAATTACAATGAAAAGAGGGGCTGTTTTAATAAAATTCTTCATTATATAACATCGTGTGAGAACAGATGAATCAGGAGAAGTGGTGAGAAGTGAATTCCAATCATGTGCTGAATACTGAGCCCATCTAGGTGTTTACATATGTTAGTCATCTAATCTGCCAATGACCTTTGTGAAAGCAAGTGTGCAAATTTTGGCAGGATTTTGGTCTACTATATATTTTTGTGATAAGAAAATAGAGAGTAAGGCAATGTTTTTCTCATCAGTAATAATTTCTTTAACTGCAAGTTATTAATACAAGTCATTTATTTTTTAATGTTTTTATTTTTATTTTTGAGAGAGACAGAGACAGCATGAGTGGGGGAGGGACAAGGAGAGAGAGAGAGAGAGAGAGACAGAATCTGTAGCAGGCTCCAGGCCCTGAACTGTCAGCCCAGAGCCTGACGTGGGGCTCGAACCCAAGAACTGTGAGATCATGACCTGAACAGAAATCAGATGCTTAACCTACTGAGCCACCTTGGCGCCCCTAATAGAACTCACTTAAACAATGGTTTATCAAATAGCTAGTATATCAGGTGTTCTGCTAGCTGCTGGAGTGTCTGTAAGAAAGATTCAATTTCTTGTCAAGGAAAATTACCATGCCTCCATGGATTTTAAAGTCTCATAGTGGAAGATGAATATTAATTTTTAATAATCACATAAATGTGGGGCACCTGGGTGGCTCAGGCAGTTAAGCGTGGACTTTAGCTCAGGTCAAGACCTCATGGTTGGTAAGTTAAAGCCCTGCATCAAGCTCTGTGTTGACAGCTCAGAGCCTGGAGCCTGCTTCCGATTCTGTGTCTTCCTCTCTCTCTGTCCCTCCCCAACTCATGCTCTGTTTCTCTCTCTCAAAATAAGTAAACATTAAAAAATAAAAAATGAAACACATAAATGCATATGGTTAGGAAATGTAATAAGAGATATGAAGAAAAAGTACAGGGTGCTCTGCTAACCTTGGACAGAGTCCCTGGTCCATTATGGGAATGAATTTGAGATTTTCCTTGAAGCAATGATATGTGAAATGATACTGGAAGGATGTATAGAAGTTAAGTAAGTGAAAAATGGAGAAAGGAAACATACTTCTAGGCAGCAGAATAGCATATGTGGAGAGTTGGAGGCCGCAAACAACTCAGTGCCTACAGGAATATGAAGTGGGCTGATGTGGCTTGAACTAGGGAGCGAGAAGAATAGGCTGAGATGAGACTGGAGAACTGGGCAGGAACTAGCTCTTGGGGGGCCTTCAGATGAGGTGAAATTTTGTATTATATTCTTTTTTGATCCAGCTGCAATGGGGAACAGGTAGAAATGGTGGGAAAGGTTGCAGACAAAGGGAGTCCTCTTACAAAGGCCCAGTGGCATGACAAAGCATGAGCTAGATGTGAAACTGCAAGCTGCATGAAACTGGAGGAAAAGGAGTTAAATGGGACAAGACGAGTTAGGGGCTAAGTGGTGATCAGAGCATGTTGGTTTAATAGGCCATGTTAGGAAGTCCAGTTCATTCATAGACAGTGGGAAGACTTTGGAGCATGACCCATCATGTTAATAGCATCATCTCTCATGCATTTTAGGTGCCACTCAGTGCAGTGTGCACTGTGTATTACAGAGGAAGAAAGCTGAGGGAAGGAGGCTGAACAAGGAAGGTGTGAGAATCTAGACATCATTTTAAAAAGGTATGATAGTTATTGACCGTTGTTACCTGAATGTTGCATAATAGAAACATTTGGAGGAGGGGAGATTGCCTTTTATTAGGTATACAAGTTTTATTAAGCTCTTGCATTTGAAAATATTATGTTCTAATACTTGCTTTGTATCCATTTCTTTGTCTAATTTTGATACTGAGAAGTTTAATTCAAAATCTGTTTAACTTTGAAGAAGGCGTTCTTTCTTGTTCACTAATTCCCTTTCATCTCTTAAAACAATTCTATGCTCCCAGTCTTCCAAAAATTTCTAAGAATTATTGGATTTTTGGTATCCTTCTCTCCTAATTGCAGACTATTTATGGATTTATTTTCTTTTTAGTTTTGTTGCTGTCATATTAGTGGTTTCTGAATTCCAAACTAAAGACAACTTCTGCATTGAAATTTTGCTGCTTTGGGCCATTAGAACGTTCATGATCTAATGTCACACATAAATTATTTGATTTTCAAATATATTTTAATGTCATGTATGTAAAATCACATCTTAGTGATTTTATTTGTTTTTTAAATGTTTATTTTTTTTTTTTTATTTTTGAGAGAGAAAGGGATAGAGAGAGAGTATGTACACGAGAGAGTGCAAGCATGAGTGTGGGGAGAGGCAGAGAGAGAGAGAGAGACTGGGAGAAATTGAATCTCAGGCAGGCTCTGTGCTCTGTGCTGTTGGCACAGAACCTGACTCGGGGCTTGAACTTATGAACCCTGAGATAATGACCTGAACTGAAATCAAGAGTCAGACAGTTAACCTACAGAGCCACCCAGGTGCCCCGTAGTATTTTTCTTTTCTAATTAAAAAGGAAATTGCTGTAGAAAGTGACTTACAAAATTCTAGAGAAAAAAATATCTCAGAAGATACCAAGTCAACATTATCTGAATGAAAATCTGAGAAGACTAAAAGTAAAGTATTCAAGAAAGTAGATGTGATCACCACATTGAGCAACCTTCAATCCAACTTCTCCACCTTCTACCTCAATTCAGAGATTGAACTGAATTTTAAAAGTATTGGGTTGCCTTTGATCAAATGAGTAATTATTAGTAAATGTGGGATATTAGCACTCAGTTGATGAATCTCGTAATTTTGTATGTTTCTTGAAATTTTATTCTTGATTTCAGAGTGTATGTTCCAAATTCAGGAAGGATGATTTTGGACTAGTAATATTCAGGCAATAAGAGCATGGACCAGTAAACTAATTATCTATCTGTATTGGAGCATCTAAGTGATACCATTTCAGTATCTATTGAAAAGTCTTGGATTTATGGAAACAGAGAGAGTGTGAGGGTAAATTCCCTTTTACCTTTTTAATATGGAAGATAACCATTTTGGGGGGAAATGTCACACTTTGCAAGCTATACATAATCACACTTTAAGCAAATAAGAGAGTGAGTTTTACTGAGGGGAGAGGGGGAAAGCAGGAGAACACAGGACTGGTACCATGGGAGAAGCTCCCTTAGATGTGGGAAGAAGATGCAAAATAGGAGTCTGAGTCCCCATTTCCTCATTTGCCCATGTTTCATTCAGTATTGAAATCAACCCTATTTTTCTTTCAAATGGACTTTGTAGCTGGTCTGTTCGCACATCTTTTTACTCTAGTGATGATTTCTTTTTCATTATCAAGAAGCAGACTGTTACCTTAGCAACCTAAGTGTCACATCTCACATGCAAACACCTGCACTCTTCAAGGAGATCACACATTCCTTGTTGATAATAATGTGATCAGAAAAGATGACTTCTTTCCCAGTGTCTTTTTTAGGGGCATATACATTTGAGGGGAAAACATAAAACCACCAAAGGTTGTCGGTAAGGTAAATTTATCCTTTATTAAGTTAAATTGATAACGATTACATGTTGACTTGGCAAGTGCCTATTACGTATCTTGTTAATATAAGTGTATGCCTACATATATGCATATTTAGCAATTTGCTTTAAAGTTTGTTTATTTTGAGAGAGAGAGAAAGAGAGAGAGGGTGGGGCAGAGAGAGAGAGAAACAGAATCCCAAGTAGGCTCTGCAGTGTCAGTGCAGAGTCCAAGCCTGGGCTTGAACTCACAAACTATGACATCATGACCTGAGCTGAGACCAAAAGTCAGACACCTAATTGACTGAGCCACCCAGGTGCCCCATGCTTGTAATTTTTATATAATCAGTAGCATATTATACAAATTTTCTCTCCCTTATTTATCTGCTTCAGTATATCTGAGAGATCATTGCATAGAACTATGTAAAGATGTTCTTCATTGTTTAAAACTGGAATGCATGCTTTTTAAAGGCTCTTCAAAGGCTTACATTTTATTTACTTATGGAAGAAAACTATATCTATTGTGCTGCACCTTTCTTTTTTTTTTTTACCTCTAAGCTTGTTTTCACAATATACTACATTATTCAGCAGTTTCTTTCCAAAGAACTCATTTAAAAAATAGGAAGTGGGAGCTCTGCCTCTGAAATCTCTACAATCTTCCTCCTTTTGTCAAAAGGAAATTGCCCTCCACTCTGATAAAGAATTATAGTGTGTCTACTCTGTTTGGTCCCTTGGTTAGGTATGAAGTGTCCAGTAGTGACAGTCTTTTTGGCTGAACTCAAAGTACTTAAAGTCTAGGATAGAGCAATAGATATATTTATAGAGAAGACTGATAATGTGTTAAAATTTCTATTAAAGAAGCCCTGCTCATATTTGAGGACTGTAATAATGTGTCAGCTGAAATAAACCAAAGAGGATATTTATGGGCTGAATGTTGATATCCCCCTCAAATTCACATGTTGATGGCCTAATGCCCAATGTAATGATGTCTCGACTTGGAGCATTTGGAAGGCTATTAGGTCCTGAGAGCGCGGCCCTCATGAATAGCATTAGTATCCTCAGCAGAAGAGACTCACTGGGCTCCGTTGTTCACCCATTCGTGTTAGGGTAGTGCCAGAAGACAGGGCCTGTGAACCAGACAGTGGGCTCTAGAGAGACACCGGATGTTCTGGCACCTTTACCTTGGACTTCCTAGCCTCCAGAACTGTGAGAACTAAATTTCTGTTAGCGATAAGCCACCCACTCTATGGTAATTTGTTAGAGCAGATTCAACTGACTAAGATGGGAATCAACCTGTCTTTTCATGACTGGTAAAGATTGATTAGAGAATGGAGTTTGGGTCAGATACAAAAATGTGCTTCTTAACTACTGACCTAAATGAATTGATTTATTCAAACACTCACAGTCTAAGAAGTACTCTAGAAAGAAGCTAAAACTGCTTCTTTCCATACAAGTTAGGAAAGTCTTGTTCTTATGAATATACCTCATCAGAGTAGAGTTCTACACAAGAAGTGTGATCTAAGACATAGTTAGCATAAAGGCTGTGGCTTTGTATCCAACTTATTAATTAGATAAGGCATAGCTATCTCCTGGAGAGAACTACATGACAGATGAAGACTAGATGCTATATATAATGGAGAACTGGAGGAGGGCACTAGACAAGGCATGAAGGTATGAACGAGCCTAACATATTTTCAGAAATGGAAGTGATTTCACATGACTTAAGGCCTAGCTGGTAGAGCGCCAGTGATCTAGTAAATCACATAGTGGTACGTATTATTGGCATTACAGATTTATATCTTCACTCTCCCTATGTTCTCAAAGCTGAGAAACATTATTCTCTGAATCCTTAAGTTTTTTTCCTCCGTCCTCCGCATTTGTTCTTTCAACATGTCTCCATATTTTTCAAGAACGTATCCTACCATTGCCAACCTTTTCTACATTCCATTCACAAAGAAAATATATCTACAATGAAAACTTCTTCAGCCCTGGCCTCCTCAATCCTTCATTTCCTGGAATGCTGCCATTCCTTTTCCTATTATTTCTTTCCATTTTAGGAAAGGAGTTGGCTTTTTGCCTGACCAAGACTTATGTCATCATCTTTGTTATAGATTTTATCTCTTACCACCACTTAAGACTTTGTAAAAACTACTTTTTTTTTTTGTCTTCAGATCATCTCATGTTACCAAATTCTTGCCATCATTTAAAAAAGTGTTTTGACACTTTTGTTCAGTATTGTGTATAGAATTCATTTAGAAAAGTACCTTTCCCATCTGAAATACATAGACTTGCAGGTTAAAAGATAAATTAAAACAAACTAGCAACAAACAAACACATATACATAAACACCTATACCTTGAAACCAACCAACCAAATCTCTTGCTTGAAGAAAATCCTAGAATGAAGGGCCATAAGATTAGCAGGTGGAACCTAAAAGAAAAAAGCCTATGGGGAGTCTAGAGTAGATATAATCACAAGTAGCTGGAAATAGAGATTTTACATCATGTCGAGGTTAGAAGAACTCTGGAATGGCAGATTAAGGACCTCAGAAAATCTGCTTCTTTATAAAAGCAATCATTATACTGGTGAAATATGTCAAAATGACTGTTTCAGAACTTTGGAAATTAACCAAATCCTTGATACATTTCAAAAAGTGTCATTAAAAAAGCTGTATCTCTGTAATAACACTGAGATTTGTGGTGCTTTTAACTTGCTGTGACTCTATCCCCTTTCCCCAAATCTATGGCAGCCTTGAAAATCAACAACATTATCAGCAGCCTAGCAGCTGCTGGAGGGAACAGAACAGGTTCAAAGATCCCCAGAGAAGTGTCACTATTTGACCTGTCTGAAAGCTCCCTGAAAAGCTTCATTTCCAGGTATTTTTCCTTATTGACCTTAGTCAGCACAAACTCTGTGTGAACCGCCCTATTCCCAGGGCATTTTTCAGAAACAGCTAGTAGCACTTTTTCAACATTGAAGTTGCCTATGGTGGTACTACTCATTGGGGCTGACACGAGGTTGACTGAAAATAGAAAAAAAGCTGAGGAATGAGATGTCCATAAGGTGTTTTGAAAATCGTTGCCCTAGGGGCATCGGAGTGGATCAGTTGGTTAAGCATCTGACTCTTTATTTTGGCTCAGGTCATGATCTCATGGTTATGAGATAAGCCCCATGTCAGGCT